CCACAGACAGACGGACGGACGGACGGACTTGTCTAATAGATAAGAGATAATATACACATATCTGCCATGTAATTTAAAAATGGAACGATTTTGTACTCCGAAACATAGAAACCACATGAGAAGAGATACGTTCCTTTACTCATATGATGGCAACCGAGGTCGTAACTTATCAAAGGTTTTATTGAAATTTCGAACTGGCATGCAAATAGAAAGCAGTTTATTAAAAAAAAAACAAACGAGTGTTGTTTATCGTTGATTTTAAAAGTAGTTCTGCCTGGGTACTACTTAGTTTTCATTTGCGCGCATCAGGGGGCGTCCATAAATTACGTGAGGTGTTATTTTGAATTTACTTGAGGGAGGGGCCCTCCCCCCCCTGGTGAGATGACATGAGATTTTATTCAACCCGCTCCTCCATCCCCCAATCTCACGTAAGATTTTTCAAAATGTGGGGTTCTTACATATACGCTTTGGATTGTTATTGTAAAAAGAAAAAAAAATTGCTTCGTTCTTTTATTTACGACTAGTTAAGACTAGTAATCAATATTGCTGAGAGTTAACGATTACGCTTAAGTTTAAATCATAAGCATGTACAATCTGGATTAAATGGACCAAAATGGTATATTTTTTTTGTTTCAATCAAAAAAAATTGCGTGATATTTGCCGAGACCCTCCCTCTCTCCAACGTAAGATTGGATGAGATTTGGCTCGACCCCCTCCCCCCCTTAAACATCTCACGTATTTTATGGACGCCCCCTTATTTGAGAAAAGTACTATGCAAGCCTTGGCCTCAACTATGCATTGATTGACCAAAATCTCGCTGTTCATTAATAGTTTTCCTATCGGCGCTTATAGCTATATTTACGTTTGGGCCGAACATTGATTCAAAATTTACCGTTATCATCATCATTCAGGCCCGTGACACTAATTGAATCTAATTTTCGCTCCATAATGTTGGCACAAGGAGGTAAATCTATAAATTAATCATTTACATTGGGTTTACAATGGCCGCGGTGTATTGAAACGCCCGCCAGTCATTTATCACCGTGTTAATTTGACGCTGTCCGCTTCTAACTATATCGGCTCGTTCAAAAAGTCGTTACAACTAATTTATCTACGTATAGATAGAACTTATTTGGCTGTCAAACTGACTACGCTTAAAGTTGGTTAAAAGGGTTTTTCCGTTTTCAACTATGATGTCTCATCCCATTTCCTTACTCATCCCAAACTAGTGTTCCTCTTTTTTGCGTGGGTGAAATACCTGACGCATACCCACTCACTAAATAATGGTGAGCGGGTTATTTCGGACTCTCCCCTTCCTACCTATATTATACGAGAATGAATCCCCTAGTCGACTAAAACGCCCACGGTGTTCCAACAGTATCAACATTAGGCGTTACTGATTCAACCCAAATGAGTTCCTAACTCATCTCAAGTCATATGTTACCAAAAAAGTATGGATAGAAAAATGACGTTTATTGTATTCGATAACAACTTGACAATAAGGGCCACTTGCACGGAAATGACAAATAAATCATCGCGAATTAGTTATCCCAGGGATAAAATATTACATTTTTAAGTCGGAAATTAAGCTTTAGTTACTTTACGCAGCAATTTTGTTGACAAAGTGTTTCTTCGGGTTATATAAGTAGTTCTTACGTACAAAATTGGGGCAGCGAGACAAATTATATTTTTTTATATCGGATTAACACTAAGCAGTGACATAAATGAGATAACTCTGGACTGCGCAAGTATCCCTTAGTCTTAAACACTTTTTTAAAATAACTTTTTTGCGAAGGCAAATAGAATGACAACACGTATTAATAAAAATATATTTGCATAATTTACACCACACGAAGAAGGTCATACAATATGAGATTTATTACATTTATATTTGGATTTTTCAACAATTTTAGAGCTTCGCGCAATTTCACGAGGATCTGAGGATCTCGCTCGTGAATATCATCTGCGACCAGGATATCATATTATATTTACACACTCCAAAAATGTACTATGTGGCATAGAGTTGACGTTAACAAGAGCTTGTAACAGCCTAGACTGTATATATCGAAATTATGAATTTGAATTTTAGATATTTTTGAATTTTACAAACATATTTTTTATTGAAAATTTTCGTTTTTCATTGGCAAACTGTGTGATGTCCCAACAGATGGTCCAGCAGTAGTAAATATAAACATATTCGTCCGGACTATAACTACGATAAGCGATATAAAAATGGTTAGTATGTGCCTTGTGGTCGTCAAAGGCCTCGTCGTTATATCTAGAGCTTTTGTCGACTTTTCAATCGATCTTCCAAAAGTATTTACTTACGATACTTTATTTGAGATGAACTGAAAAAGAAGACGGAACAAGTTATGCAATGACCATGTTAATGCCAATAACTAGTGCTATAACTTAACCAAATTTAAGTTACTCCAATATTTTCGTTAATTTATTGTTTAAAAATAATTATATTATTTAATAAACTAAAAATGGATGCTTACTAACTAATCTATTAAAGTGTATCTTTTCTTCGATTGGGTTCTGATGATTGGGAAATATCGTAAATATACTTTTACCCAGAAAATGTATTTTAAATTACTTTCTGCTTTTACTAAATATTTTGTTAAAAAGTCTGTTAAGAAAATTCTTAATACTTTGGATGCCTTTCAGTTTTGGTAGAACAGAGTTCTCTTAGTGACCAAGGAAACTCTATAAACGACGCTATATTAAAACAAAAACCTCTTGGTCCAGGCTTTTAGCAGGATATATTTCCTGATGTCGTAATATTTTGACTTTTGAAAGGTCGATTGAGAGATTAAAATGCCTGTTTCACAGTAGTTATCGACGTGCCAAATTTTAATGAAATAAGAAATAAACAATTATTGTGTAACATTAATGTGTGTCTGATTTATTCATGATATTTACCCGATTTTATGGAGTTGTAGAGTTTCAAGATGAATCGATGCGTGACCTGTGAAATTCGTAAAAGCTTTATAGAACAGTGACAAAACTTAAATCAGGTTTGGAAAAAGGAACCAATATGTGCAACTAAGAATTTACAAGATTTAGAATAATATGCATTATCTATAAAAGAAAAAAACATCTTGAAAGTCTTAAAAAATGTGGATATCCACCGCTTACGATATTAAAAACAGAATTTTCAGTGATATTGTGAATTCGTTATCATCAGTCATGTGTATCACTAATTTAATATTTTCTATAATTTCTGTGTGTACGTACAGAGTCATTAAGTCTTATTTTGTTTGAATTTATTAATTTATATCAATAGTTAATTTTATGGATACAAGGAATATAATTTTTTTATCAATCACCGAGTTCGGGCGTAGCGAGGCAACTTTTAACTAACCCGTACTTTATGTAATTAGACAGAGTAGATTCTCTATTGAACTCATGCATTTTATGACGATGCTAACGTATGGATTCCTAAATTATGCCCCTTTATCGAAGATTTTAACAGTTCACTACGTCGGTAGTTACTCAGCGAAACGTATTGCGGAACTATTAAAAAAATCGATGAAAGGACAGTGTAGCACGCGACTGTTAAAAGTTCTGATCTATTCGTGATTTCAAAATAGAAAAAAAATCAGTAATGTTGTGTGGCGTTAATAGCTGTTCCGTAGGGCCGCAGCAAAACCTCAAAGTCACTGCTGATATGAATGCAGTTGAAACACCCGATCATTATGTACTCAACCAAGTTTTCGTTACACCAGGAACAAAATAGTAATTTCCGGAATTTCCGACTTACCGCGGCGGGCCATGCGAGCCACCGTGAATTTGCAAATGAAAGAACTTTCTTATACGCCACCAGCTCCTAATTAAACGCCACCTTGTGTTATTATGATGATGGAACACTCTCCGATGTTGTAATTTAACATATTTTTTTTTGTATTTACAAGACAGCTTTTTACACAGAGCTTTTAGGCATAATGTACCTACTTAAAAAGTGACTGATAAAGCCCCATAGCAATATTGAAAGCGTTTGCGCCCCGTTGCATTGTTTACATTCTCATAAAATGTCAGATAGGTATTCTCCTTTGAGCCTCTGATTAAAATCTCGTCTCATCGCTGTCTCTTTACACTAACACAAATTCCCGTCAACAAAGACAGTTGTTTTTATTTACATCCCAACGTCTAAGTTTTCCGTTGTTCCTTTGTATTAATTAATATTTATTTGGTGTGTACTCATCAATTAATGTATCCATCGACATTACACACACATGTATTGACAGTTTGCCGGGCCAAGGTGAGTCGTCACATTGTTTCGAACATATTGCGGCGCATACGTCTTCGTGCCTAGGTATCACAATCACACGTGGTTAGGGAATAGTTGCCGTCGTAATTGAGTAATAATTTTTAAACCGTATATTTTGCTTGGTACTTAGATGGGCCAGCGGTAGTGAGCGTCAATATATTTGTCCGAAGTATATCAAAGATCGATGACGTCACAATGGTAAGTTCCCATAAGGACAGACTGGACCACGTATTTAGATTAAGACAATTTTGTTAAAAGTATCGCGTTCAAGTCAAATGAATGGGTAAATCTGTCCTGTTTGTGTTGCGAGGAGAGGTTTGCCCGCAATAATTTTATATGTAATATTATACTATTTTCTATTATGATTTTCATTTTGGTTACCGACTTGAGAGTCTCCAGTTTGGTGTCTGCGACCAAAATCGTTTTTAGCCACGCTAGCCGGCGCCACTGGCGCGCGTTCTCGCTGGATCTATTAGAGTTGAAAATTAGATCTTCATTTTTCCTGTTTTGTTTGATTAGACTGGCTGGTTGCCTTATGATTTCATCTCGAGGGGCATTAGCTTCCGACATTGGAACGGGCGGGTTATGTAGCGCAGCCCCTCGTCCCTGTACGCTTAAGCATCTGACATCAACTCCATCAATAACTACTATACTGAGCATGTGTCGGTTAGGTCTGACTGAGTGGGGATCAAAGTTTAATATCTGCTAATTGTTTTTGTCCATAAAGGCGAAGCGCCAACCTTAGTTCGCGTGAACCTCTACCTCCGATCCATCAGCAAAATAGATGATTATAAAATGGTGAGTGGTTGCATACACTCTGTGACCTATTATATACCAGTTTTATTATAACGCAAAGTTTTCGCATTGGATTAGTAAGTGCATTGGTGTTTCACTGAGCAAAACTTTGTTTATAATAGAAGTGGATGTTACAAACAAATGGATATTTGGCAATAAATTAATGCACTCTGCTGAATTCTGAGCTGTTTTGGACATGTGTTTGTGGTTTGTTTTTCTTTTATGTTTTTCTTTGTGTTTTGTTCTCTTTTGTTTTGTAACGCACTGACTTATGTTATTTTGTTCTGGTTTTGCCCTCCCTTAATACTTTATTTTTATTTTTTATGACAATAATAATATGATAATGTAATATGTTGTAAATTAAATAATGGTGCGGTGCCGTGCACGCCTTTGTATATAATTTATTAAAATTAAAACTATAATATAAAATCAAGTAAACTTTAAGTTATTTTGACAGTTTCGCTTTTATTTTTGCGAATTTCTCGGAATGGTTTTGATTTGTTTTGTGTTTTTTTTTTCAATTCTATTTTATTATTTGTTGTTGTTATTTATTTTAAGAAGCAGACTGTAAAAACACAATTCAACCTGATGGACAATAATTGGCACTAAAAGTAGCAGCACAAAATTTACGGCAAAAGCTTCGGCATCGGGCGCACATTCCGGGATCCCCCGAGTTTAGAGCAACGGAGACCCGCGGGGAAGTCCCGCGCCTGCACAGGGGACGCGGCCCGCACCAAACACTATCACCTCATTGTTACCATTTTACTTTCCGTACTTTTTACTTTTCTCCAATCATGCTTCTTTTTACTTGTCATGCAATACTTTGATGAGGAGATTAAAAACTATTTTGGTCGTGTACGTTGACAGTACAACATACATTATGTCGATATTGTCTTGTTCATGTGAATTTGTGTTGTGTAAACTATACGAGGATCGTCGCGCCCGCACTCGGCTTCGCGCTTCTAACGGTGGCTGTCCAAGACATCGGACCCCGTGTCCACACTTCCACTAGACGTACCGTAGCTCTAGATATACTGGCCGCGTGCATGAAGGTACACGAACGAATAAGCATTCCACCGACGAATGCTGCGAACGGTGAGTCGGTTTCGGAGCTTCGCTTTAAACGCTAGTGAGTGAGCATGCTGCCTGTATCTCTCGAGGTTACCTTTTGGCCTGAGACCGCGCGGGTGGCTCCCTGGCGACGCGCCAGTTCCGGCTAATGCGACGATGACGAGCCCCCCGCATCCATCAAACTCGAGCGCGCCTCGCCCTAGTCCCTCATGAAAGCATTATCACTCATCACTGTAAATACATCCACCAAAAGCTAACGTCGAGAACGCATGATTCGTTAAATATCTTCTGCATCCCGCATTTGTTTTTACGATAATTCATTTGACTTGCTCCAGTGATGTCGATGGTTGGTTCTGTTTTTTTTTTAAACTGACAAATTAATAAAATATGAGATTGAACCGTCGACACCATCTCCTACCTCTAGATGATAAATTGTAAATAATGAATTTGTGTCAATAAACGCACAACGGCTATTCCAAATTCCCATTGACATGTTTACATTGTAGTACACGACATTGGCAATTAACCGCACAGTTTGAGCAAGAATATTGGCACAAATATTGGTGTATCACAACTTAACGCTTGATGGCAAAATAATGAATAATCCACGTAGACAATAATAGCTTCATGCGACGGCGATAAAAAGCTGTGCCATAAATTAGAATCGATTGAAAATGGATTTAAAGCTTCTTAGGAAACATTGCACAATGCAGATAGAGCTTATGGATATAGTATGATATAGTAATGTTAAACACAAGAAAGATGAATCGAAAGCCTCATTGAGTGCAGTGTCAAACATCTTGTGATATTGTCAAATTTTAACTTGATGACACTTTGACAATGTCCCAATGTTAATGATAAAGAAATCAATGCAAATGCCACAACCTGTGAAATGTTTTCAGGAATACTCTGTTCAGTTGACCTTCAGAGAGCAATGGTTAGACGAGCGGCTCAAGTTCAACAACTTGGGAGGTAAGCGATACTCTCTTAAAAAAAATGATTTTTACTGTAGAATGTTTTACCGAATCTTTTCAGATTCACTTGTCACTGGATATTAGTTTCGGCCTGCCCTTCAATGTGCGATGATATTGCAAATTCACTAAACAACTAAATGGCAATAGCCTCTATTAATCATAATTATGAACTCGACACATTTATACAGAAAGCTTATTTATGAAACTAAATTAAGATAATAAAAGCTTTGTCTAAAGAAAAGATAAAGAGACAAAAGACTTAAACAATTACTAGATTAAAATGACGTTAACACTGCAAATACACTTATTACTAGACTTGCAACGAATATTCGGTTACTATTCGGTATTCGGCCTATTCAGCTGCTTTTATTATATTCGGCCGAATACCGAATATCTACATATTATTCGGCCAAATACCGAATACTTAAATAATATATTTTGTCATAGAGATATAATTTGTAAAATGAAAATCGATTGATTACGTATATATTCATATTTTCATTTCTGTTATACAATACATAATTTAATCATTTTTTGTATTAAACAAGTTAACAGTTTTAATTCTCTCAGTCATGTGATGAATGGTTTAACATAATAGCAATAATTTAAAGTTTACGCGCCGTTTTTGGCCATATCTCAAAAGTTATTTTTGTCATTTAGCCGCATTTTAGCTTGAGGACGGCAAATTAGAACAAAACCAAGGAGCGCGAAACAATCACGTCTGTACAAGTTTTTGGTGCTAAAATCCAGCCGAATACTTTTGCCTAATATTCGGCTATTCGGTCAGGGGCCTCGCTGATTATTCGGTATACTGTCGAATATACTATTCGTTGCAAGTCTACTTATTACATAATCTGGATTTTAATATGTTAAATGAAGAAATTAAAGTATCTCTTAAAAAATACATGTTTGTAATAAAAAGCCAGCCCGAAAATTTGGAAAATCTGAATATAGGAATAAGAAAATTGTTGTGATGATGGTCGATTAATAAAATAGATTAATATATAGGTAAAATAAACTAATATTCTTGTTCTTTAGTTTATTAAGGCGTTTCTTTTAGCTCTGAAGCAAAAAATCCACACAAGACATATTGCGAGTGCAATTAAAATTAGGTAAAGGGTAGCAGCGAATTAATATAAAAAATTAGTTCTGTAATTGAATTAAAACTACTGTCCAGTGGATATGGCACTCAGCAATATACTATAAGGTCGATTCTGCCGTGATTCTTTAAACTTAAAACTAAATCTAACATCAATCTCTTCTTTACATTCTGTATAAAGAATGACAATGATACACTGTTGTCAAATTTAAGTTTAAAGCATCATGCCAGAATGTACACCATTAAAATGTTATTGCTTCTAAATTTGTTTTACACACTAATAATTTTGATCCAGGTCGCCTGAAATACCTGACTCTGACGGAAGCGAACAGGGTATGGATGCCGGACTTATTCTTCTCTAACGAGAAGGAGGGCCACTTCCACAACATCATCATGCCGAACGTGTACATTCGGATCTTCCCCAACGGGACGGTGCTGTACAGCATCCGGATCTCCCTGACGCTGTCCTGTCCCATGAACTTGAAACTGTACCCACTGGACAAGCAGACCTGTTCTCTGAGAATGGCTAGCTGTAAGTATTGTTTATTTCTACTTCCAACTTATGCACACATGAATTTATCATGCCATATTCATATTTATGGTGTTATATTAAAGATAATATGATACGGAGAGACATATAGGAATTCTAGTACTTATCGTATTTCCAAAACTAAATCTCTGTTCTTCAAATTAATCCATATTTCCTAAAGCACCTAGTTTCCTGTAGTCCACCATCTTTTTTCCTGAGATTCGGAAAACAATAAAAAGCATATGTGGAAATTTGAAATCGGATATTGTTTAAACTTTCAGTTCTATTCAAAATCTTAAATTTAACAAATTTATGAAACTTTTTATAAAAACCATACTTTTTTGCCGATCATACGCTAGCTTTTTCATTGATTACGTTTAATGCCAATCTTATGAAACCGTTTGAACATTGCGGTACACGAATATCACATAGTCCGAATGCATTAAACCGTCAAAGCTTACTACGGAAGACATAATGTTTTACGATAGCCGGACGTAGATCAAACCCACGCATTATAAAATATACAATGCCTTGTCTAAAAATCGTGCTTTTCTTTTTTGAGAAGTTCCATAAAGAAATATCATTATCCAAGGAACTATTTATGAAGACAAATGACTCGAATGCGTCCAAATAAGATCTTAAAGCTATTTCTGCCAAATTCTTTCCCAAAATAGATATAGCCAATGACCATGCACAAATGCAATGTCAATTTATAAGAAAATATCTTAATACGACCTACACTGTTATTGGAATAAGACAGATTTTTTCGTTTACATCACTAAGGGCTGTATTATAGAAAGATTCTCAGTGATTGATCTAGTCTTGAGCATTGTTAGAAAGGGATGTCGCTATATAAAGCATAGAGCGACATCCCTTTCTAACTTTACTCAAGTAAAGATCAACACTTAGTTGTCATTCTGTAATACGGGCCTTAGATTGTAGAACTTCACTCAATAATTAATGTGTGTATAAGTAGTTAAATATAATTCCACTATTGTTTGTTTGTTTATGTAGTTGGTTGTCAGTAATGTTAAATCTATAGATAAACTATGTCATGTAAACACAGACGGGTTAGTGAAATATTTTAGTCGCTATCATTACGGGCGGTGTTGGCACCCGGCCGCAGCGCAGGGCAACTCTGATAAATCGGGTGATAATTTCAAACACAGTTTATCTTTGCTGGCAAAAAAAAAATTGTATAACAGTGACGAAATTGATTGTATCAGAAATATCTTAGACGAAATTGATTATATCAAAAATATTTTGGATATTCCATCCAAGAAATTTTTGATACAATCAATTTAGAAACTGAAATATCCTAAGTGTATAATTTATTTTAGATTTTGATGTAATCCTGTTTTTATCTTTGTATAGCTTAAACAATTTTTACTATTAAACAGCAGTTTATCAATGAATTACTCATATCACAAGTCTGAAATTATTACTAAAGCCTAATTCAAATTAGAATGCGCAAGAATTATGAATTTTGAATCCATAGAATTTCTTATAATTTTTAGTCTTTGACAATTTAGGGAAATAAGTCTCCAGATTTTGATGTGGAGCCTTCATGAATCCATAGAATGTCTTTTAAAAGGAATATCATTTCATGTTTGGTTATGTAGCTTACTGCTTTAGCCAAATGCTTTCATGGCAGTTGGTAGAAGTCTTCACGAAAAATATTTAGCTACAATAGCGATTACCTACTAATTAACATTAATTATAGCATAAATTTCGCCTGTCACTCGTTCCCCAGCGGAAATTAAGAGCCAGCGAATTAATTTAAGACTTCTAACTAATATCTTTATCTTTTGACGACCTCCTTGGCCGAGTGGCTTGTACGCCGGGTTTCATGGTGTCGCCGACTTGAGAGGTCCCGGGTTCGAATCCCGGTGGGGGCAGATGTTTGTGTGATGAATACGAGCATTTGTACTCTAGTCATGGATGTTTAATATGTATTTCTATATAAATATACTTTTATATGTACAGTATATGTATTCTATCCGTTACCCTAGCATCCCATAACACAATCCTTATAGTGCTTAGCTTGGGGATAGGCTAATTGGTGTGAGTGTGGTAAATATTTATTTATTATTTATTTATTTAATATTAGAACGAGTAGATAATGCGTTTGTTCTGCAAATTATGACTCCCATGAAATAGGTAAGAACCTTTTTGTTAACGTGAAATTGGCTCATTCTATCATTTTATCCGAGTTTATTAAGAATAAAGAATACATTATAGAAGTAGATATCAGTAGTAAATATTTTTAAATGTTATACATTATAAAACTAAAGTAATTAGATAAACGAGAATAAAGCGACAAAGTGATTTTGTATTCCGTTTACCAGGTCATGATTTAGAAGTTCCTTTCAATAAATAAAATGTTGAATACACGTAAACGCCACGAAGTCAATCAAATCAATCTTGATAAACATATATGAGAATATTGTATTCCAGTAACTAGGTCACAAGTTATGGCGCGTTCGATGTACAACAGGTGAGTTGCCTGCTAGTCGGCTCAAGGGCGGATCCAGCTTTGGCGCCAGGGGGGGGGTCATATAGCCAGTTTTGGCACCAGGGGGGGTCATATAGTCGTGGTATATTAAATATTGAAAGTACTTAAGTAAAATCCCCCTGGGTTTGGTCCATCTGTACCCAGCCCAGGGGGGGGTCATGACCCCCCCCCCCTGGATCCGCCCTTGAGTCGGCTAGTCGTAAAGTAACCCATAACATATATCGGAAATATTGTAAAATTATTATACCTACCTATTGATAAAAAAAACCACGGGTTGCACTCCGGGAGTGCCGGCAGTAGTGAAAACTTGAATATTAACGTTGTGCATTTTTGATATTTTGGAACGGTTAGGGAATAATTTTGCACGAATTGCTTTAATTATTAGTATAAAAGTACTACCATTTATGTGTTAGAATACAATATTTATTTATTGCGCTGTCGTACACAAACATGACAATTTATATTACATTAAAAAGTTTATCTCGCAGAAAAATCAACTTACATGAATCACGTTTAAGCGCACCTAGCGACATCTATTGTAAAAAAAATGCATTTTCTTCGCAATAAAGCTGTCACGTGGACGTCCTAGATAGAGACTTATTATTATAATACGGTAAAATAAAATATTACTATGTTTCGTCCAATATATTGAAAGTCAACAACCATTCCAATTTTATTGTTTTCGTCTTACGAATTTTCGATTAGGTCACGTGTCCTGACGCGATTAGGCCTCGTGTCCTGACGCGAGTTCAACATTTTTTACCCATTACAAAAAAAAGTGTACAATGCCGCTAAAAAAGTTTTCACTTCAAACATTAAGTTGTTCGTAAAAATTTTAGGTCTATTTCTCCTAAACACTTATCACTCGTTCTATAACAGTCCATCCATTAAGCACACGTGTTTTACAGAAACTGCGCAGAAGTAGTTCTAGTTCTAGTAGTAATCATGAACCCGCCCGACTTCAACTGACTGTTGCCTATTTATTCACTCAGTCATCATCATCATCATCAGCCTATTAATGTCCCCACTGCTGGGGCACAGGCCTTCCCTGTGGATGGAATAGGGAGATCGGGCCATGACCCACCACGCGGGCCCAGTGCGGATTGGTGGGTGCTAACGACTGCAGATGCAACCGGGACCAACGGCTTAACGTGCCTTCCGAAGCACGGAGGAGCTCGAGATAGTAAATTTTTGGTCACCCATCCAATGACCGACCACTGCGAAAGTTGCTTAACTTCAACGATCGCAGCCGAACGCGCTAACCAGTTGCGCCATCGAGCTCCTCAGTGCTGTTGCCAAATTATCGAAGGGAATAATGTAATTAACGAAACAGAACGCTTTGTGCCTCCTATTTATATAAAGTGGGAACACCTGTGAGCTTCTGACTTCGTTTGCGCCAAGAATGTGCACATAATAAATGCAAATAATTCCAACGCACGGTTAGTTTAGCTTTCGTGAGCTTCCGTGTTGAGCACTACTAAATAGGTAAAATGAAACAGAACAAATAGAAGCACAAAGTTCCAATGAACCTGCCAACGTTCTGGGAAATAATAATGATCATAGTCTACTTAAGAAGATATCCATACTACAGACGGATATGAGATAATTAGAAATGATATTTGAACTTCAACTTACATGAATCACGTTTAAGCGCACTTAGCGACATCTATTGTAAGGAAATCAACTTACATTAATCACATTTAAGCGCACCTTGCGACATCTATTGTAAAAAAAATGCATTTTCTTCGCAATAAAGCTGCCACGTAGACGTCCTATATTTGTTAGGTTAAAAGTTCACAATCTAGAATAAGAGGTTCGCTCGTGGCTATTCGGAGACGGGTTCCGCGACCACACCCGCCCTCTCGGCACGCACTAGGGGGACCGCGGTCCTCATAGTGCGTGTCGGGTGACGGTGCAGGAGTATTGTCTGGTTTTTAGTGGCCCTGTTCAGCCCTGTCCACATCAGCGAGCTCCAGGGCTAGCTGAAGAGGACAGGGAGGAGTCCCACATACCTTCTTCTCGCTCCCCCAGTGGTTGAAGGATGCGTAAGGCATTTTCCAGACACAAAAAAAAAAGGATAAGAGGTTCAAACTGCTGAATTCTCAATCTTGGCTGTTGACGTGCTGAAAGGAATCAAACAAGAACTCGATAGATCACTGTTCGTATCAAGTTTTCTATGGAAACTAAAAAGAACAAACTGTTATTTTTCATAGAAACTTTGACGTGACGATATGATAATACGCTCGGGATACAAGTTACGAATTTACTGTTCATTAGATAATATGCGTAATGAGGATCCGTAACTATTTTAGTTGAGAATGCAGATTTATAGAGCTAAGGATTTCAAAAAATACAGTGGTTAAATTTTTGTTCTATGACAAATATAGACGAAGTTATGACCATATTACTAAACGAATTTTCGGCTGGCCGCGTAGTGACTCAGAGCTCTAGCGCGCTACTAAAGTTCGACCGGAGTGAACCACGATCGAGCTTTGTGACGTCACATATTTTGGCCGCTCGTGAATATTGACTACCATAAAATTTGTTATAAAATCGCAACGAATTCGATGATTTAAAAAGTATATTAATTAAAAAGCTTATATGATCATTATACTGTTTATTTGGAGTTGATTCGCTGACTTGGAAAGATTCTCATCGTAAATTGCTTTTTTTTTAGTTCTATTTTTCTTTGTTGAGAAAGGCAAGGCAAAGCCATACAGCCATCGTCTTATTTTTGTATTTATCTTCCTTTTTTTACAGTAGAATGTGAATGTGACGCATTCTAATGTTTCTTGGAGTATTTGGCACGAAATAAATCGAGGTGGCTTTTTCGATAAGCTTCTGTGAGGTAGTCAATACTACAATAAAGTCCTCACGTCGACTTAACCGGAATAGCGTATATTTTAAAGATTCCACTAATTCTTCAGTTGCGCAGACGATTGTAACACAAAATCACACCAATTTTATCCACAATATCCACTATGAACAAAAACAATAATTAAAATAAGACGCCAACCGCACTCGATGGAATCCCGCCAAAAACTCTTGTAAATTGCAATTGCAAGTAATTGAGAGATCATTATGTCAACCATGCCTATAATAATGTTTTTTTTCTGCAGATGGGTGGACGACTGATGACCTGGTGTTCCTGTGGAAGGAAGGGGACCCCGTGCAGGTGGTGAAGAACCTCCACCTGCCACGATTCACACTCGAGAAGTTCCTCACTGACTACTGTAACAGCAAAACAAATACTGGTGAGTAGGTTATTAGAGGTTATTTTACATCTATAAAACACTAGACGAAAATTAAGTGATGAAAAAGAAGATAGAATGTTAACATCTCACCTTAAGTAATCGTATCTTTCTTCTTCGAGAGACTATTGATATTTTGTACAATACGGGCTGGAAGACGGGTCGGGTAACAAAATAGGCTTGTTGAAAATATATCGATGTATCGATATATCGATATTTTTTGTTCGATATATCGATATTTTTTGCCGATATATTTTGATTCGATATATCGATACATCGATACAAAATAACCAATATCGAAATTCGTATCAAAAACGATATTTTTTTAATTATTATCTAACTAAATTCGTATCTGGAAAAATCGTAACTGGATCTCAGATTAATGATATTCAACATATCTATGATCTGTGCTGTATTTAGTATTGTCTATGTCATCATTCGAAAATAGGGTCTATTTTTAGGGAGATAATTTTCGTTCCATTATTATTCCGCGTGTCATATTTCGTGAGCTACTGTACGATATTTTTGGGAAAATTGGTCCGATATATCGATATATCGATGTTTTTTTCGCGATATATCGAAGCCGATATTGGTGTCGATTCTAGCATGATTCTCTAAACCTAAACTTAAATTTGACAACAGTATATCCTTGTCATTCTCTATACAGAATGAAAAGGAGAGACTGATGTTAAATTTAGTTTTAAGTTTAGAGAATCACGCCAGAATCGACATCAATGATATATTTTAAAATATCGATGTATGGATATATCGATATTTTTTTCAACTTTCGACATCCCTATAACAAAAACGAAAACTCCGTTTGTTTACAACTTAGTCGCTAACCCGCCCGAATTCCATTGGCACTCGTATTTAGTGTAACTGCGTCATAAAGGATTGATGACTTTTCTTTTGTTTTCTCCCAAGCTGGCGAGAGCTGGCTGGCTGGGTGTGAAATCCTTATGGAATTTCCACAGCTGCTTGTAGGATTATGTCAGTCTTTTGCTGCCTCAAAGGAAATTTCACCGGTCCAAGTTTCAGACAAGATTCGAATCCGTACCTTCCACAATCCAGTGGAATCTTTCTAGTAAACTTTGCTTGTTTGTTTTTAGGTATAGCAGTATTAAACTGCTTTGCTGCTTAAATAAATAATTGACCCAGGTAATTCGTTTTGAGAACTTAATATATGAGCTTTGGGTGTGCCTCTCCAGGTGAATACAGCTGCTTGAAGGTGGACCTGCTGTTCAAACGCGAGTTCAGCTACTACCTTATCCAGATCTACATTCCATGCTGCATGCTGGTCATCGTGTCCTGGGTGTCCTTCTGGCTCGACCAGGGCGCCGTGCCCGCGAGAGTCTCGCTAGGTAACAAAATTAATGTGTTCTTTTACACTCATATCGAAATATTCGAATTATGAATTTAAAGATGGTTTTATAAAGACCTACTTCAAAGCCTACTTCATAAACGCACATACATAAAATTAAAAATAAAACTCCTGCTAGCTGTATCGTGAAGTTATTTTTTAATCATTAAATTATTATTTATACTAGGCCTCTATAATTTGTTTTTTTTTTGTCAATGCTTATTAAATCTCCACACTCTTTAGTGGTGATAAAAATAGTTTTTGGTCTCTTTCGAGGCTTTCTAGTTACTTTGAAAAACAAGTTATCGAATAAAGAAAGACATAGGAGTTAAAGTGTTATTTATATTAGGCCTCTATGTTTTGCTTTTTTTGTAAATGCTTTTGTTAAATCTCCACACTCTTTCGTGGTGATAGAAATTAGTTTTTTGGCCTTTTTCGAGGCTTTCTAGTTACTTTGAAAAACAAGTTATCGAATAAAAAAAGACATAGGAGCATAGAATCAGTGAAATTATATTTTACTAGCGGCCCGCCCTCGCTTCGCTTCGGTGTAGAGCTGAAGTGTAAACTACAGTTTTTGATCTCAGGCTTGTAATATACACAATGACACTCATCTATGATTCTTCTTATACCTGCAAGCAAAGTCTCAGCCCGATTGGTTTAAAACTGACAAAGTTTCATACAAACTTTCATTCCCTATTTTGTCCCCTTGGGGGTAGAATTGATCAAAATCCTTTCTTAGCGGATGCCTACGTCATAACATCTACCTGCATGCCAAATTTCAGCCCGATTCGTCCAGTGGTTTGGCATTGATAGATCACTATCATCCGGTTTCTGAAACGCATGTCAAATATTGAATTAGTTGACAGACTGTCATAATTAACTATTTGTTGAGCAACTGTGGGTTTCTGAAAAGATATTTACCGAAAAATTAACGAATCTACTGTTAAGGCAGGATTTATTTATTAGTCTGGCCACCCTAGCTAAAACCAGTCACTTTCATTCGATCATTCATGTTTTGTTTCTGTCTAACGCATAGCTTTGTCTCTATCTTTTGACAACTTATAAGTGACTTTTATTTAAAAGTCTAAAAATTAAAAGCGATTGTGTGTACCGAAAACATTGAAATTTATTTTCATTTGTAAAGTTTTTACATAATATGTCACGAAAAAACTATACGGAGCGAGAAAAGAGGGAGCTTTTAACAATAGTGGATAAGTAAGTACCTAATAGGTACAAATCAGTTGTTCAAATCAAGCTTTCTAATCTATACAAAGAAACCGATCTGCTTTTGGCATTTAAAATTTGTAAATATATTGATAATATATATTTCAATGTAGGTACAAAGCAATAATAGAAAATAAGTCTACCAATGCAGTGACGGTGTAAAAAAAACGTGACTTGGAAAAAAATTGAAGAATTTAGAAATAAAAGTTAAAGAATTGGAATTTACTTCTAAAGCAAATAAAAAGTAAAATAATTATAGTGTAAATCTGATATGAACTACAATATAAAGATGTTTGTTTGTTTGTTTGAACGCGTTAACATCAGGAACTGCTGAACTGAATTGAAATATTCTTTTTATGTTGGGTTAGCCATAATTCTAGGAAGCCTTTAGTGTACAATAATTGTTCGTTTTAAGTTCCAGGTGTGTCAGTTTTCCCATTAGTTGATGGAAAACAGATTTTGAATAGCGATCCTTAAATTCTTCACCATTGTAATGAATTACAGGATTTATTCGTTTCCGGAACTGGCGAGTTGGTGCCAGATCTTCCTCGTCACTAGATAGGGATATATCGTCAACAGATAAATCTGACAACATTTTTTACTACCACTACAACAATCCTCTGACCAAAATATCAGTAAAATTTCTTTTGACAGTCTGTTAATTGATCAATTTTCACCAATTACTTATTAAAACACAACAAAACGTTAACATGCAGTTAACATACAAAAAAGCTTTCCGGAAACCAAAAACTACCGCAATCGGCCATTAATTCGAGATTTGACATTTGCAACAACAAATCATTGACAAACTGTCACTTGGCTCATTGAGAAACCCAAAGTGCATTTAAATAGAGATTAACAATTTGTTACGTAATTTTTTCGATGACATGCGTTTCAGAAACCGGGTGTAAGTCAGTCAGTCAGTCACCTTTGAGTTTTATATATATAGATGTATGAAAATCTTTACTGATAAAGACCAAGGAGGAATCAGTCGAGAACCTTTGTATGGAAAAAAAAGCGCGCCTCCCCCCTTAAGTATGTTTATTTAGCACCCAAAATACAAGTCATGCTTAGTTTAAGAGTAGGCATGGCGGTTACGTTCTTTCTTGTTTGGGGCTAGAATACGGCCACAGATTGCTTACAGTTACTACCAACGAGAAGATATACAAAATGTAAATATAGACGATGAAAGGTTAATGACCTTTGCAGGGGTTGACAACACTATGCAGGGGTCGACAACATTTTTGAAAATAACATTTTATTTAGGAAAATTAGCATAGGAATTCTTTTCAAAACTCTTTTTAAACATTATCTTATATATAAAATTCTCGTGTCACAATGTTAGTTACTCATACTCCTCCGAAACGGCCTGACCGATTTTTATGAAATTTTATATGCATATTCCGTGGGTCTGAGAATCGGCTACTATCTATTTTTCATATCCTTAAGTGTTAATGGTTGTCCACCTGTAACGTAGTGTTCTGAAACCTATAATGCGCCTTTGCACCAAAATTCAAACTATTGGGTATTGTAACGTAGTGTTCTCATATGAGTTAGGAGGAATGTTATCCCAGGAAATTGATAAAACACTACGTTACACACCCCTAAAATTTTTATTGGACAATATATTTTTTTTATAATGTGGTATTATAAAATACATACAACCCTAAATTTTCTTATTTTTAAATTTATGGCGATACGAAGTTCGCTGGGTCAACTAGTAGGAATATAAGTTATTTACGGAATTGTTACCATGTACCTTGTTTTTAGCGAGTTAGACTATTGCAAGCGCCATGATGAAACATGCTAAAAACAAGGTACATGGTAACAATCCCGTAAATAACTTATATTACTGTAATGTTGGTGAAAGTTTAAAACAATATATCTTTTTGAACATATACATAAATCCCATTTAACACCCCTCATTGTACAACAGTTGCATAAATAAAATTGCTTCTTTCTAAAGTCAGTAGAAATTTATTAAGGGTGATATTAAATGATACTAATTTTTTTCCTGATATATACCTATAACTGCGTCCTTTACATCTTAATGGCAATAACCGAAATATACATCGTTAATATTTATTAAGCGACGGCACGTGGGCGGAGCAATTTTTCACTTTGTACGTACGTACGTCGTCGTTGATTCACAATGAGACCATTCAATAATAATGCAATAAGAATTTAGATAGACTCAAAATTTTAGATATCCATTAAACCTAGGTATTTCGTTATTAAAAATAGTGCGTATATTAGGTATACCGGTCATTCTCAGCTGACATGATTTTTGAGCGTATATACAAATATCTACCAAGTCTGTAATATTTTGGGGTTGATTATTTTTTGGGATTAATTCTAGCAAATGTTTTATATAAAATGTAATTTTAAACACTTAATTTGGTAAAACATCATCCAAAATTATTTTTTTCTAAGTGGGTCTACTAATTTCCATTAGCTGTCCAGTTACCAGAATCCCTTTCTACCGTTAATAATTGCAGAACAAGCTAAAATATTACATAACTGTCTATATATTTTAAAAGAGGTTAACATATTTTGCAACTAAAAAAATATCATCAATTTAGTAAAACGAAAAATATGTTTGTCCTTTCATTCTACCCAATTCTGTCACTGGTTAAGAAATTATGAATATCTCATTATCTGAGAGAATTATACCTATTCATATCTCATATTAGGAATATGTCAGTAGTGCTACATCAGTAACCGAAGCAGTTGATGTTTAGTGTTCCACTAAATAACATAAGAAAGTAATTTCCATTCAAATGGTTTACGATTCTCTAATTTCCGTTCATTTGTTTAATTTTATTATTTTATGCCTGAAGTGGTTTTTGTTTAATCATTTTTTTTTGAATGAAATATTGAATTCATAATTTAGGCCGTATTCAATACGATTAACCATTTTTTTATAATTGAAAATTAAATTTCAGTTCCTCATTTCTGTCACCCAATTTCGTCACGCTAAAATGTGAAGAAAAATATAAAATGCTTAAAACTACTGTTTTTTACTATTTTATTCTGTTGTAACATATGCAGTGAATGAACTGATTATTATCGCCGACTGAGCTGATTGTAATATTAATGAAAGCTCCTAGGTTTTTCTTTGTTATTTCACATAACTGATTAGTTTTTCTTTTAATTATTTACATTTGAACAATGATTTTGTATGTTGATAACATCCATGTATGTCTTATTAAAACAGAAATTTAGCAATTCTTTAAAGTCCGTCACTGTGAATCTAATTATCATCACGCCCAAAAGTATATCACTTCATAAATCCAAAACTAAATAGTTAATTAAAGTGCCAAATGCACTTTATAAAGTTTAAGTGTTTTTCAAGTTTTATTGTCGGTGCAAGGAGTTTAATGAAAATTTTAAAATCGTGACGGAAATTATACGATAAACACCTTGTCGTTAAAATGACCGATACACATAATGGGTATATCTTCATAATGAAATGGGTACCAAAATAGTCCAAACGACGGACGGACAACAAATTGTTCCTTTTCTTTTTAGGTATGGGACCCTAAAATCTTAGTAAGTTTTCTATTTATGGGTGGACGCGTGCCAGACGTTAGTATTCGCTAAGGCTTCTTGTTTCACCGGATACCGGGGAGATGAGATTTGTCCTTCGCATCGATGCGTTGTTAGACAAAGACATGCATGTCACACCGGGTCTGCGTTATTTTTAGTTTTGTTGTCAAGGTGTACTGCTGATTATGGCGACTCGCGGCGTTCCGTGTCGTACACAATGGCCATCGACATGTGGACGGGCGTATACTTGACGTTCGTGTATTACACAGATGGGTACTGTTTTGTTGTCAAGTTGTGACCACACAACTGACCATGGCGACTCAGGCGTCGACCATCAACGCCTCGTTGCCGCCGGTTTCGCGCACCAAGTCATCGACATGTGGACGGGCGTGTATTTGACGTTCGTGTATTACACTGTTGGGTTCTGTTTTGTTGTCGAGGTGTGACCACACTGCTGACCATGGTGACTCAGTCGTCGGGCACCAACGCCTTGTTGCCGCCGGTGTCGTACACGGAGGCCGTCGACGCGTGGACGGGCGTGTGTTTGACGTTCGTGTATTACTTTGAAGGGTTCTGTTTTGTTGTCAAGGTGTGACCACACTGCTGACCATGGCGACTCAGGCGTCGGGTACCAACGGCTTTTTGTCGCCAGTGTGGTACACGAAGGCCGTCGACGTGTGGTCGGGCGTGTGTTTGACGTTCGTGTATTACACTGATGGGTTCGGTGTTGTTGTCAAGGTGTGACCACACTGCTGACCATGGCGACTCAGTCGTCGGGCATCAACGCCTCGTTGCCACCGGTGTCGCACACGAAAGTCATAGACATGTGGACGGGCGTGTGTTTGAAGTTCGTGTATTACACTGAAGGGTTCTGTTTTGTTGTCAAGGTGTGACCACGCTGCTGACAATGGCGACTCAGTCGTCGGGCATCAACGCCTCGTTGCCGCCGGTATCGTACACGAAGGCCATCGACGTGTGGACGGGCGTGTGTTTGACGTTCGTGTTCGGAGCGCTGCTGGAGTTCGCGCTCGTCAACTATGCGTCGCGATCGGATATGCATCGGTGAGACTTAGTTTGAACTTTCGTTACTGAAATTATAGTTGGTTTCATAATCATACGTACATTACCTAATCATTGATAGGTGTGGCTGACATAAATGCGTGACCGAATTTAGAGGTGTGGATGCCCTGGTGCAACGAAGGAGTGAAGGCTCCTAAATCTGCGCCGGACCACTTAAGATTTTCACCCAAAATTAGTTTTTTTTATCTCTTGCCCCTGGGTCACGGATCTGTATAAATGCAGAGTTTTTTGGCCTTGTTGATAAACGAACTTTTAATCGGCGATCATAACTGCGTACAAAATTAATTCATTTGTGTTTTATTTTATATCTATTTCAAGTAATGAGTCTTCAACTGTGATTAAACAAATTCACTTATAAGTTAAAGCATCTCTTAAACATAGAGAAACGTAGGTAGTAATGTGTAGATATAGCGAGTTCAAAAGTTCTGTATAATGCTACAGAATAATAGTGTGTGTGTAGATAAAGAAAGAGACTAGAGTCTGTGCGGAAAGAGAATGGGATATAGATTGGAGGGCGCTGTAGTGCTTTTCTACCGTATTTGTAAGCTTTCACCCCTTTTAGACATGATTAAATACAAAATCCGCAAGAAATCACAACAACAAACAAATCTGTATCAATACAAAACTTTGACGTTTTACAGATTGCTGCGTTTGATTGCCAAATAAAAATCTTAATGTTAGTTCCGTTTTTCGCCACGCCCATTCTCTTTCCGCACAGACTCTACATTAGATCCAAATATTTCAGATGGATAATACTTTGACCTAATCTTGTATTCGTATTTGAGGAGTTCGATGGCGCAATTGGTTAGCGCGTTCGGCTGCGATCGTTGTAGTTAAGCAACTTTCGCAGTGGTCGGTCATTGGATGAGTGACTAAAAAATTACTATCTCAAGCTCCTCCGTGCTTCGGAAGGCACGTTAAGCCGCTGGTCCCGGCTGCATATGCAGTCGTTAGCACCCACCAATCCGCACTGGGCCCGCGTGGGGGGTAATGGCCCAATCTCCCTATTCCATCCATAGGGAAGGCCTGTACCCCAACAGTGGGAACATTTATAAGCTGATGATGAATCTTGTATTTATAACATTTAGCGAGAACATGAAGAAGACGAGACGTGAGATGGAGGCAGCGGCCAGCATGGACGCAGCCTCAGACCTGCTGGACACAGACAGCAACGCCACGTTCGCTATGGTGAGCTCGCATCTAATCTGACCGTGTGTCCGTCTTTAGGCAGCTTTAAAACTCTCTTATAGTCATATATAAGTAACTAAAACTTTGTTTCTGCGCATATTAATTTCAACTAGCAAACCAGTGAACCAAATGTTCACCAAAAAAAAAAAATGAGAACTTCGGAGATTTTGTGTGGTTTCGTATTAAATTCGTGATTTCTCGAAAACCGGAAGTGCTACGTTACTGAAATCCGGTTTGTAGTCTTATCAGACTATTCTTAACTTATAACTTAAACATTCTCTTTATCTATCTCTTACGGTTTGGCCGCTGAAACAGCACCACAGACAGACGGACGGACTTGTCTAATAGATAAGAGAAACTTTCTTTCTTGAGTTAGAAAATGTTAATTCGTTTACTGAAGTCAATTTAAAATCTTTGCATACCTAATCTCACATTCCTAATTTAGATCTCCTTAAGCTGCCCTACTTGCTGTTGCTTAGTCAACATAAGAACACAAATATGTGCAATCACCAACGAGTGGCTATTAAAATATGTAACATTTACTATTCCGCTACTCTGTTTTCTTCCGCTGTCCTTGCTGGCGGGACCTCAAAGATGCCTCAGTGCGAGATCTACCTAAAGCCGCCACGCTTTCTTTTTCCAATGTCTTCTACCAAATGTCTAGAACCTTTTGCATCCCATGCTTACACAGCACTATTCTAGTAGCTTGTCCAGCGTTAGGGCAAAGATTTGTGTAGCGTCATGCACAGTATCCGTTGTCCACGACTGGTCTGCAATGACAGAAGCTGCTGGATGGCGGGACTCAAAGATGTGACAGTGCGAGATTTACCTGAAGCCGCCACGGTTTCTATTTCCAATGTCTTCTACCAACTGTCTAGAAGACTGCATCCCATGCTTACACAGAACTATCCTAGTCGCTTGTCCAGCGTTAGGGCAAAGATTTGTTTAGCGTCATGCACTGCGTCCTTTGTCCCTGACTGATCTACAATGGCAGAAGCTGCTGGACGGCAGGACTCAAAGATGTGACAGTGCGAGATTCACCTGAAGCCGCCACGCTTTCTATTTCCAATGTCTTCTATCAACTGTCTAGAACCTTTTGCGTCCCATGCTCACACAGCACTCTCCTAGTCGCTTGTCCAGCGTTAGGGCAAAGATTTGTATAACGGCATGCACAGTGTCCGTTGTCCCTGACTGGTCTGCAATGACAGAAGCTGCTGGACGGCAGGACTCAAAGATGTGACAGTGCGAGATTCACCTGAAGCCGCCACGCTTTCTATTTCCAATGTCTTCTACCAACTGTCTAGAACCTTTTGCATCCCATGCTTATATAGCACTATCCTAGTCGCTTGTCCAGCGTTAGGGCAAAGATTTGTGTAGCGGCATGCACAGTATCCGTTGTCCCTGACTGGTCTGCAATGACAGAAGCCGCTGGTGCGCGGCGGGGACGCAAAGATGCGGCAGTGCGAGATCCACCTGAAGCCGCCGCGCAAGAACTGCTGCCGGATGTGGATGTCCAAGTTCCCCACGCGCTCCAAGAGGATCGATGTCATCTCCCGCATCACGTTCCCGTTAGTCTTCGCCCTTTTTAATTTGGCCTATTGGTGAGTAAAATGAGTCAGTAAATTTTAGTCTAAGTTAGGTAGAAAATAAACACTTGTATAGTGCGATTCAAATAAGAATAGGAAAGCGAATGACCTCCATTTGTCAAACGTCGCTTGAAAAGTACGGTTTGCAAAAAAATCTTGAAACTCTTTTTTAGCACTCAGCTAATTCTAGAATAAAAACCAAACATTTGTAAACAAACAATAACAAATATTGATAATTAATATTGGTTCATATTTTTTTTATTTATTAAGCTTTCGCTATGATTGTTTCATAACCTAAATTGTCAACCAAATGTCACTTTAAATTGCGTTCAAAAAAACAATTTAAATCTTTCGTTTACATAAAGGATGCATGTTCGTATGTGATCTAGTAATAGTGCATGATTATTCCTAACTACTTCGGCGGTAATGCAGAGATGAGTGGAAAAATACCATACCATTGTACAGATAGTGCAATCCACGAAGATGCGCCCCACCAATTTTTGGTTGAAGGATAATTAATTAGTGATAAAAAGATAATTATCATATTATTATTATCATAGATAATTATTGTGTTCCGATAACACTCATATATTGGCGGAAGCTGGCACACATTTACTATAAACGGTTAGGAGGAATAATGGGGCGCGTGATCGTGGATTGCAATATATGTAACTAAGTGACTAATGGTACCATTTTGTGACTAAAAGTCCGAACGTTTTGTTCGTAATGTCAGGACTTTTGAAATTCCTAAACGATAACACTACCTGTGATCGGTCACCAGGTCTACGTACCTGTTCCGTGATGAAGAAGAGGAGAAGTGATTCTCCAGTCCGGTCGGCGGCGCGGCGGCGCTGGCGCGGCTGGCGGGCGCCGTGCTCGCGCCCTACGCGCTGTTCGCGCTCGCCTACGCGCTCTGTCTGCGCGACTCGCACGTGTCCCACGCGCCCCACGTGTCCCACGTGCCCCACGCGTCCCACGCGTCGCGCCTCAAACATGTTCGTTGTTCGCTCCGCGCACGCATATGACACGAGGCTGGCGCGCCTACGGAATCCGTGTCCTGGTTGGGTTTTCGTTTGCAATACTTTGACCCACTGCCTGCAATCTACCTACGGCAGCTGTTGGTATACTGTTCGTGACTCGCACGTCCCTCATACGCCTGACACACCCTCGTCCTGCGCTCCGTGCGCGGATATGACGCGAGGCTAATGCGCTTATGAAGTCCATGTCCTTGTTGGTTTATTTTTACGCGCAAACTTTGACCCACTGCTAAGTACACAATGTTCCACCTATATCAAGATTACGCGGCTGATGTGCTAGCGGATTTCAACTGATCACGCGCGCATCTTACACAGTTTCCACGTTGAGGATACAGCAGCAGTCATCGCGACTCCAGAGTTCCTCATACGCCTCGCCTGACAGATTCGTGTTCTTCGCTTCGTGCGCGAATAAGTCAAGAGGCTGATGCGCTTGTGGGTCCATGTACTCGTTGATTTTTTTTCCCACTCGGCTGCGCGCAAAACTTGAGCCACTGCAAAATCACTGCCTTCAACCTTCAGAATGACCCACCTAGATCAAAATTAAATTTGGGACGCAGCCTGGTGGTATTTGTTTGCGTTCTGCTGTCTTCTCGACCAACCCTCCCAATGCACATTCCGCCTGACACTGACACTGCGTCCTTAACTCAGAGCATGAATATGACACACCATACTACCCACATCGAGGTTGCAGCGGCTGTTAGTATTTTTTTAGAATTTGGACGCTGCACTACCTATTCCCGCCAAAATGAACCAACTAGATGAAGAGTGTATTCCGAATCAAGCACCAGTACGCTGGCCAGTGGTAATGACGTCATGATTTCGACGCCATATTGACAACACTACTACCAGTGCAATATGGCGTCGAAATCATGACGTCATTAGCGCGAATTTTTTTGTCCTACTCGGCTGCGCGCAAAACTTGAGCCACTGCAAAATCACCTTCAGAATGACCCACCTAGATCAAGATAAAATTTGGCTGTAACTGATAGCCTGCACATGGAGTATGCAGCCTGTTGGTATTAATTTGCGCTCTGCTGTCTGCTCGACCAACTCTCCCAATGTATATTCCGTCTGACACATGTACGACCTTAACTCCGAGCGTGAATATGACACACCATACTACCACGGTAATAATATCATACAGTATTCTATCTTCATACAAACGGTCGGAAAGCGAGTCATACCTACGCCACTCGAGTTCGATGTGCTCTCGGCGTGCACCCAGTCGCGAATGCGCCGCCGCGCCGCAACGACGACTGAACGGTCAGAATTGTTTTTTATGCAGTTAGCCGTGCTTAAACATGCGTTTTGTATTGTAAATATTTGATTTAATTAAGTAGATACCTACATAATTTAGTATGGAAAAGAACAAACGACGATCAATATCGTACAACAGCACAATTGCTGTTTTTGGTTGCTTGAACTCTTCAATAACACACCCAGAGATATCATTTTTTAAATTACCTGAAATATTGGAAAGGTGTCTTACCTTTATAGAATATTTTTTATATACCTATTTACTAGTACGTTATTTGTTTCTAATATTTAGGTATTTCGGTTTTTCCATCGGGCAAAATATCTGGAATAATATATAAATAAGTGGTTAGGATGAAAAAAGAGACAAACGAGTAATCTACCTACACTCGCGTTAAAAACAAAACTACATAAAATACTGTAGGCTGGCAGCCCTACCGCGTGCCAACCTAGCGTTCGGTGTAGGCATTTATTTTCAAGGACAGGGCGGAGTCACAATACTGTATAGATAATATTACCGTGATACTACCCACATCGACGTTGCAGCAGACGCTAGTATTTTTTATCGCTCATCAGAGCGCAGAATTTGGACGCATCACTACCTACTCCCGCCAAAATAAACCAACTAGATGAACATTGGCTGACGTGCTTATAGAGTCCATATACAAGCCGCCAGTTGGTACTTTATTCGTTCTCGTCAGCGCGCAGTATTCTGACCCACCACTGCAATGTCACCTCCAAAATATTCTACCTAGATCAAGATAAGCTGCCGTGCCTAAGAAGTTCAACTAATCTCAATACCCTGACCCACCGATGAGAACCCCACCCCGCCTAAAATATCCAGTATAATCCACCTATATTACAATTGCTGACGTACACATGAAGTCAATGAAACGATTTCCTGTAGATATTTATTCTCTCTGCCTTAAAATGGTAGTTTTCCAAATACAGCACTAGAGTGCATTATGCGGCATAATGCTTAACGTTGAATGCTTCAACTACAGCAACGCTTCGCACAATCGAGCACTCTCAAAAGTAATGTTTTCGTGTGATGCGTGCAATAGTACCAACTCAGTGACAGAAAATTAACGTGTTTTTTTGACGTGACAACGTCTTAAATTAGGTTGCGGCTGGGAGTCACTTATGAAAAAGTGTAACGCTCGGTAACGTTACGATGAGTCTCTCGTGTTAAGTTTAAGTTTACATGTACAATGTTTTAGTAAACAAAATATATTTCTATAGTTAAAATTTGTGCAATTCTTATTTTCATTCAATTCCTTGTTCCTATTGTGCAATTTAATTATATTCATATCAATAAATATTCTACCGAGAAAAAGACGTTGTCACGTAAAATCTTCGCCCGTAAAACCGACTTTACAGGCAACCATTTTTTTTTTAAGTTGGCATTGATCGAAATGTTTTATTTATTTAATCAAAGTTTATTCAAACTGTGTTAAAAAAATAAATATAAGTATAGATGAAGGTGCAAACATTGACTTTTTTTTTTATTCCACATTTAAAATGTGAATACAATTTTATTTTAGAATTCGAATCTATAAACATATTTATTTTTCAGGAATATACTTTTGTAAACATTACAATGGCTTGATCGAATCATTTAATGACGCAGGCAATCATCAATGTTTTCGTGGAAAAGAACATATTTATCATAATGATGAAAACAACACCATCTTATTTCTTTATAATTACTATATTTATTCAACGCTGAACTTAGCGCACTCTGCTGGTTAATTTGAAAACTAATTCACATCAACATAATTCGGCATTGTGTGCCACTGAGTCGCATTATGCTCTGTAATTGGAAAACTACCAATATAAGAAATACATTGACACTCATGTATGCATCCCACCCTATGCTCTCATAAGTCTAACTACTACACAATTACTGCCCAGTATTATCAAATTGATCTCTCCAAATCATAAACTTCTCTTCAGACCTTTTCTACCAACAGTAAAAGATTTAAAAGAAAATCTTACTTAGATCCATATTCTGGTCAGCCACTAAGCAAATTTTTAGCACCTGTCTACGCTCATATCTAATCATACACGATATGCCTAACAGTTGAATCTACCACACAATCATTGACATTCCAACGATGACAGAAATGAATGGTAAGAAAAAATACTCAAAAAAAGCGTATACGAATCGCACAATAACTCCATAAAATTTAAATCTAAAGAAAATATAATATAATAATATAAAGACGGGGGTTGTGGCTTACCTATAATGCGAAGAGATGGCTCTGCCTTGCAGCTTAAGAATGACTAGAAGAATTTCGACGCGGCCATCAGGGATTTTTTTCTAGTTATATTTTCTTTAGATTTAAACATCAAGCAGTTACATGCTTAAAAAATTAAAATTATATCCATAAAATTTGCTACTTTTTTAAGAACTTTGCGCAGACTCTACACAGATTTGTTCACAGATTGAACAGCGTAATACATGGACCATGCACCAGTATTACGCTGTTCAAACATTTTGCATTGATTAACCGATGAATAATCAAGATTCGTTACTTCAAAATCTGGCCCATATTGAAACCGTGTTGAACTTTTTTAGGCCCGTATTATAGAAAGATTCTTAGTGATTGATCTAGTCTTGAGCATAGTTAGAAAGGGATGTCCCTATATATAGCACATAGCGATATCCCTTTCTAACTGTACTCAAGTAAAGATCAACACTTAGTTGTCATTCTGTAATACGGGCCTTAGAGTACCGTAAAATATATAAAAAATTCGCTCAATAAACAAAAACGCTATTTTTAAGTGCTTAAAAGTTATTTAATGTTGTTTACAAGAATTTGTGATCTTGGGGTCTATAATTCTTGTAACCTAAATCTACTATGGTAAAAGATTCAGCTTCAAATGATGCAGTGTGAGTGAGGTCCCGGATTAAACCTTGGCTAAGACAATGCAGCAAAACTAAAATTTGTGTAAAGAAACGGTCTTGGTTTTTAGCCTGGTTACAGTTATTGATTCGATTTACAAAGCACGCGTACTTTTGCTATTAAATTTGGCTTCTAAGCAACGTATGCGACGTTATCTAAATGAATAAATATTCATATGTGTTTCTGGGTATTACCTGCATGAGAGGATTGAGCCAACCAAAAAATAACCTTGCTTTGTGTCAAGCTGGAAACTATGCAAGTCGCCTAATCAGGAGCGTCGAGAGTACAACACCCGTTCTCTATGGTTATTCACTAAGTGAGAAGCTTGGCCCAAAGCACCAAGCGAAGCTCTTTATAGTTAAACCTTAGCTTAGATGGCAACATAGCTATCTAAAAATAGATCAGAACGAATATTCCAAAGCAACCGTTATGTTTCCAAAAAAAACCAACGCTGCTAATCTTTTATTAACTCTAAGCTGTCATCCAGGGCTTAAAACCGGTTTAGAAAATACCGGTAAATAAAGGTTAATACCGCTTTTTAGTAAAGGTTTCGTTCGGAGCGCCTCCGAAATGAAAGCGGTGCCTAAAACCTTAATAAACCGGTTTAATAATCCAGAGCGACACGTGCACGCATCGGCATCGCTTGAAGTTTGTTTTGTTTGAACTAATCAAGTCACAACTTGTTAATGCTCAGAGATTGATGCATTTATTGACACATTTGCTAGCGTCTAGTGAGTCAAGTTATTCATTTATTATCGATGCCGTTAGAAAGAGCGAAATGAAACCCTTTAAAAACCGCTAAATTGATTCAAAACCTGTTTGATTTCGCTGTTTAGGAAAACCGGTTTTTTAAGGTTAAGGTAGAGCCAAACCTAAATAAAACGCTTCTAATGTACTTCACACTGATTTAGGTTTGAAAATTAACCGGTAAACAATTCTGCTGTCATCAATTTCGAATGCTATAACATATTATGGAATCAAAAGTAATTTTCAAGCAGTTGAAAGATACGAAATGTAGAACATATCAGTAATATACCTGAACCTCAATATTAACAAATATAGTATGCTAACTTTGCCATCGTTTTCTATTTGACATTGGATCTGTAGATAATAAAAGCAAAAAATATTAATAGATCCACAGAGTTGTTAAGCATATTAACGCAATTTTAGGAAGTGAAGAAGATTGTGCAACTGAACCAAACGTACAAACATCATGATATATAAAAAAATCTCAAAATATCTGTAAATTTCTGAAAGCTTAATTTAGTTTGGCAAAAGTGGTTTTATAGTTAAATTTTACAGGCTTGTCATTTCGCTCATGATATTATCAGTTTACTTAAGGATGAATGAATACAATTTCAAATTATCTTGCCTGTATCAAATTATTTAGTTAATTGATGCTGATTTGAGGTGGCGATGCTCAATAATGTTGTTTGGTCCGTGTGTAATAAACGTATGGAAGCAAATAATTGAGAAATAGTCAATAGGGATATATTATATTATGTTGTAAAAGTATAATTATATTATATATTGATTTTTGTTATTTTTTAAATATTCAATGTTTCACAATATTATTCCATAGAGATTTACTTATTTACGTATTTTAGTATTACATAATTTGTTAATTTAAACTATGAAAAGCAATCATTTAAGTTGTGAGTATGAAAATTCAAATTACATAATATACTATACATCAAATAAAACAAATTACAATTATTATTCGAGGATATCGTTTATTATTTAATTTATATTTTCGATAGTTATACCAAAGCCTTAAAGCGAAGGTGGCGTACAAACAAAATATGTAACCACATACTAATATACTAGATTTTAATAATCTACCCCGATTTTAGACTGTATTACATTTTAACACAGACTAGATTAGCGTATAATTCCACATTTAAAAGATATTATGACGGAAGAGTCGATGAAGCAACATTAATAACTACACATAATGTAGAT